AGACCTGCCAGGGACAGAAGTCCCAGCCGGCACAGCTCGTTGGGTCCTTCAGACAGGCAAGCTTCACCACCTCGACAAGGTGTCAGCCCAAGGTGAAGTCGATGCAGAACAGGTAAAAGAAAAAGAAAAACAATTACAAAACAGTAGGCTTTCATTACTTCGACTGATTACACACGAGAACTTTCAGAGCTTTTAACCTTACCATGGCACAAGCCTTCGTCTGCGTTTGGTGACAGTTAATAAAAAAATGGCATAAATTGTTGTCCAGTTAAGGCGGTGGTGAATCCTTCGCTTTGCCGTGAAAAATATTGTTTGAAAATATTTCTTTTGCAAGGACGTGACAAGGTCTTGCAATGTCCAAAGCTGTTTCCTTTGCCGTTTATGGGTTTCTGGATGCCGTTGACAAATTCCTCAACGTTCACAGAAAGTCCCCCTCGAATTCAAGAAAATAATATTTGGTTCTCCGCTCATATTTGAAAATTNTTTCGTGAATAAGACCGCCTGGCTGTGCCCGCAATACGAGCGGCATACATATATACATACATAAACTTTATTTAAGCTCGAATTTCAGAGTAGCTTGACAAGCTAATATTTCCGAGCTGTCCTACCGAAACGACACGATAATGGTCTTTTTCTTCGCAGCCGGAAAAAAGTAAAGACAATGCTCATTTACTTTGGCCTCTTCTAATGTTTGGCTCGAGAATCCTGGGTTTAATTTGCCGAGGAGCAGCATATTTTGTTCAAAATAACACAACTATTACTATCTTACCTGGCGACAGCGCTCTTGGAGCAAGTTACCGAACGCAGGCGACCGAGTTTTGGCGCCAAATAAAATACTTGGAGGCAAAAAATGTTTCACATTTTTAACTTTTTACAATCCGATATGGTTTTTGGAGTTCCCTTTTCGTGAATATGTAACGCCGTTTCCACTGAGAAAAGTTGCCCGACTTCGATGCCTTTCCTGTTAACCTGCATTTTGCGTCACGACAGTACAGCTTTTCCCGCCTGCTGGAGCCTGATTGGTCATTTCAAATTTCAGGTTCACCGGGAGTATGCAGGACATGAGATACCCGTGGGATATAAGAGTGGGATACTTATCTTAAAATAACAAGATTATGACTTGAGCTCGAGACTTATGAGGAGATAACTGGTGCCAACTTGCCAGAAACTATTTATTGTCTCAAAAAAACATCCAGGGCGAACCTTCGAAG